ATATATATGCGTCTCATCACTATAGACGCCATTCAAAGAGTACCTACAGACTGAGAAATGGTGTTGAATCAACAGCAAGTTGAGTTTCATTATCGTTGAACTCTTTATTTCCGTTACGAACAAGACATATCTTATTCGACGGTTATGTCCTATTTCTCCGAATCGAACACGTCGATCTCAGATTTACTTAAATATCGATTCGTGCTGTCAACGTGTTACTAGTAGAAATTGCTTATTGAAACATGCTAAATACAGTTCAGTTCTGGCTGTAAACAAATATGTATAATCAGGGAACAAAATATAGAGTTAGTATAGGAATTATATGCCAGTCTTTTAAATTCTTGTAAACAAATAAGCCAATTCGTAGTTAGAACCGCGCATGCTCGTATCAAGGTCAGACGACGTAAACACCATACACACACCATAGGTTTATGTTGATTTACCTCAATTGCCCTTGGATATATACGAGCATGCGCAGCCCCAACCACGAATTTGCTTATAATGAAAAGGAAAGAGTAAAACTATTACAGCACGTATTAAACCTTCTTGTGGTTTCAAGTGCGTATACTTTTGTCAAAGGTTAAGGTATGTATGCCTTAAAAACTGTGTACGTTCTGCATATAATTTCGTATACAATTTTTGTGTCTATGACCCCTCAGGGTCAAAGACACCAAGCTGTCGTCTGGCAGTTAAAAATGGCTGAAAGGGTAACTCCGGTGGAGTTGCCTACCTTATTACTGCACAAAAGTCATAAAAAACACAACACCACATATTTCCTGATAACCGAAACCCATGTGGATACATTATTATTATTATTATTATTATTATTATTATTGTTATTGTTATTGTTATTGTTATTGTTATTGTTATTATTATTATTATTATTAGTAAACATAATACAGTAAGACAGTATAGAGCATAGACACGCTCCCACTGGGAACCTATTTTGTATAGGCTTACATACCATAACCTATACACAAACCTAAATACGTTCTGCACATAATGCCGTCTATTTTTTTTTGGCGTTATTACTTCCAAGTTTTTGATCATTGCGAATTGTAAAATTATTCAAGCCTATTCAATAACTGTCTAAATAATAAAGCTTTAAGAAATTTGTTCTATGCTATATATGCAATACGTACCGTATACAGTTTGTATACATAGGCCTACTTGACACAAGAAATTTTATATTATATATATTATAGAATCTTTATAAGGCGCTTCTAAGTTTTTAATAGGCCCTCTTCGAATAAGTGCCCCTCAACAAGTCCTGAAATTCGTGGGTGCGTATTCCTGCGGGTTAACGATACATGATTGTTCAAAATGTGTATGGTGCAATTTTTTGTATCAGTCGTAGGACGCCACCGTAAGAAGCCAACTATTTCATTATTTAAAAAAAATGTTCTAGTTTTGTGAAGTAATATTACAGGAAATTAACTGTAAGACATGATGATAATAAATATGTATTGGGGTTAAGTATGTATATTAACTTTCTCAACACAGTATATGACACCGCCTCATCTCGGAGGTGAAACGACATTTGGTATATTAAGATTGAAGTCGAGGAAGCGCGTTGAAAGTAATGTTCAGTATATGATATTAGCTCCAGGCTCGGAAAAAAAGTAGATGGGACGAGTGCGCAATTAGAAGAGATCTGAGCGACGTGAATATTTGGTTAATTGCTTCATTTTCGATTCGGCTGCCTTTCTACACTGATCGAGAGTAACAGCAATTGCGAGTTATTGGAAATTAAACAGCAAACATTTAAGCCGTTCTTGTCAGATAATTTCAATATTAACTTCGATTTCACCTCATTCGATCGATTCTAATGTTCTTATAGGAATTGTATCCTATAAATGTGTCATACGTCCATTTGTATTAATATAGTAGATAGTAGGCCTACCGCAATGGAATATATATATATATATATATATATATATATCTGTCTCTTATACACATCTAGATGTGTATAAGAGACAGCATTTATAGGATACAATTCCTATAAGAACATTAGAATCGATCGAATGAGGTGAAATCGAAGTTAATATTGAAATTATCTGACAAGAACGGCTTAAATGTTTGCTGTTTAGTTTCCAATAACTCGCAATTGCTGTTACTCTCGATCAGTGTAGAAAGGCAGCCGAATCGAAAATGAAGCAATTAACCAAATATTCACGTCGCTCAGATCTCTTCTAATTGCGCACTCGTCCCATCTACTTTTTTTCCGAGCCTGGAGCTAATATCATATACCTGTCTCTTATACACATCTAGATGTGTATAAGAGACAGGTAGAAGGAAATGATCAGAATTAGGCATAATACAAACAAGGAATGAGGGAGTTTAACTGGAAGTGTAGTAAACGAGTATCAATATTTTATAACAGAAGGAAAAAACCAATGAAATGGTGATACAGTAGTTCAGGAAGATTCTGATTGTTTACTTCTATTCAACGTCTTCCGTATCATCCAGCTCATTTTCGTCTGCTTCATCAACGATACTATAATCTACAGTGTTTTCACAGTCATAGCACCTGTCTCTTATACACATCTAGATGTGTATAAGAGACAGAAGTGAGTCTCATGAACGTCAATTCACCACAATTTTGGTAAAATTAATGTTGAAATGAAGAATATATTTCAGTCTAATGTAGTGCAAAATATCATTAGGCCTTTGTAATCACCGCACGACGTGCGATTATCATGGCAACTAACACGCACGTGGGTAATTCGTCACGCGTTGACAGTTAATATGGTCTGGTTGCTACAGTTTTTGTGACATTCAGCTTGTAGGGACACGTGGCGCCTAGAATGTTGATGCCAGAGTTATAACCTTTGATGTCCCGTGATGTGTGCTCTTTTGTTGAATTGCCTTGGTAGAACACAGTAATTTAACAAAATTCATGTTTGAGAAATAGTGATGGGTTGTAAATTCTAATGAATTTACATTCTAAACGTGTCAGTCAAAGATAGTGGAAGGTATACATGCTGTCTCTTATACACATCTAGATGTGTATAAGAGACAGGATTACGAATTATGCATGTACGTTTATATAAATTAATTTTGTGCAATATTCTCATATTAGTATATGAAAAAATCTTTCTATTTAAAGTTGTTTATTTCAATTAGAACAGAGGGTTTTTTTTTTTATATCACATTCAATTTTTTATGACTTATCAGAACATTTTTTTTCCTTTTAGATGCGGATAGGACTCCACACAGGTTCGGTAGTTGCCGGCATCGTAGGTCGCAAGATGCCACGCTACTGCTTGTTCGGCAACAACGTCACTCTAGCAAATAAGTTTGAATCACATAGTGAAGCCGACAAGATTAATGTTAGCCCAACCACTCACGAGTAAGTCAAATGTAATTTCTTTCTTTTAAAGAAGGGTTGGATCCAGAATTTTCCTCTGGGGTCGGGGGTGGAGCCCGCTAATAGAGGTCGAGTGAAGAGGGCTTGGGTGTTCTCTCTTCACTGTTTTGTGATCCGGGAGGTGTAGTCCTGGGAATTTTCAACGTTTAACCATTATGACCATATAAGTTTAAAGATGATCAAATAACTTCATTTAAGTTAACTTCATGTAAGTTTAATCTCTTTTTTTAAGTTCACAATTGGTTACAATAGTCCTGGGAATTTTCAACGTTTAACCATTATAACCATATGAGTTTAAAGGTGATCAAGTAACTTCATTTAAGTTAATTTCATATAAGTTTAATCTCTTTTTTTTAAGTTCACACTTGGTTACAGTAGTCCTGGGAGTTTTCAACGTTTAACCATTTTAACCATATGAGTTTAAAGATGATCAAATAACTTCATATAAGTTTAATCTCTTTTTTAAAAGTTCACACTTGGTTACAGAACTCACTGTCAGATAGCAGGCCGCTTTTTTCGCCGCCATTGTTTTCGTTTTCATTCTTTTTTTTTTAGTTTCGTTTGGTAAGAGGTGACATGTATTTTGTTCTGTGCTTGTTATTTAGGTTTCAGACCGACAAGTCACACCATTTCATAGGCGATGAACGTATAGGCTACGGGGCTAGCTTCCTAAAATGCAGCAATATAAAGCTACTTTGCCACGCTGGAATTAAGTATAGGCAACCACCAATACCACGTATGAAGATCCCTTTTTTAAATTTCAGAGTTCGTCGCTCACCCATATAATTCCTTGTATTTGGCCCTAGCACGTAGATCCCTCTTATGTTGATGGTATTACAGTAGTATAATAATTTGTGTAACTTTGAACTAATGTCAATGCAGGCTTAACGTAACATCAGCAAATATATACTCAATAATAACAAAATCAATGAGTTGGATTGATGGGTCTGTATGGGTGTAGACCTATAATTATTGATACGAGAGCCCAGATGGTGCACCAATTCCAATGAACCAACTGCGGACGGTACTTAGTTTTACCATGGTTTTACTCTTCCATACAACACATAATCACAATCCTTGACGTTATAGGAAACTGAGGCAATAAACAATTGAAATTATATGCATTAAACCTTAATTCAATATTTAAAATGACACTTATGTTCCAAGTATGTTATAAAACTGGTCATGAAATATTTTATCAGCATCAGTAAAAAATGATACATTTAAACGACGGAATCAAAGTACACGCTGAAACGCTTTTTTGTCTGAAAACCAAAAAGGATTACAGGCGATTAATCGATTTTAACCGTAAGCATTTGTGAATATTTTATGCCTAATTCTGATCATTTCCTTCTACGTTCTCAAAATAAATACGAAAAATGAAATCCATTAGGCCCGGAGAAGCAGTTGAGTATTTGAACTTTCGGCGGACGTTTGAAGGAAAGCTGAAGTAATGGTTTTTGACGAAGCAGGCGTAAATTCTAGTTCAATTTGTGGTTTACTTAAAATATACGGGTTCTTTCCAAAGGCGTCTATTACAACAGAGTACAGACGCCTAGCGTATAATAATATGTTCGAATAGTTCGTTGAAGTGTTCACATGCGACGAAAACGCATCTGGTATGTTTTATTTCTTTAAAATATGTTTGCCATTATTAAAAAAAAAAACAAAAAAAAAAAAACAGGGCGAGATTGAGATTGATAAATCTCATAATTGTTGCTGAATCCAATTAGTATTAAGGTAACTAGGTCGAATTATTTGATCATTTGGCGACAAGTATTGAATGTAATGTCAAACAAAACGGTTGAATTTGTCGCATTATTATCAGAGGTGATGGTTTTAATGTGTTAAAATGCTATCGGCGACATTATACCTTGTTCTGAGAAAGAACAATGTGCTACATAAACAATTCAGAAGGTGTGTCGAAGCCTTAGTAGGTAGGCCTACGGTTCTAGTTTTTCTGAACGGTGAACTAGCTTCCGATAGGACTTCTTAAACAGCACGTACAGACATACAATAAACCTGTACTGTACATTGTTCTCCATTGTCGTTTTCTATTACTTAATATTTTATTGTATTTTTGTTTATTAATGTAAAATGATCGTGTTTTGTTAAACAAAATTGGAAATAAATTCAAAATTGAATTAAATAAATATTTATTTAGCAAATCCACTAAACAATTACATGCCGCATTATGATGTTACGTGCGCAATCCTGTACTCTGTTCGATGTTTGCGAATTTGTATATTAAACGTCTAATGCAATTTACTAGAATTCCCCATCTCATCACATGATTCCCTGGCACATTACAAAGCTGATACAGTGCAAGTTATATAATTGCAATATAATATTGTGCTGAATATATTATGCATGAATAATTTATTGCGTCTTATTTTCACAGGCTTCTTGTCAAAACCAAAGGATTCATTTTCACGGAGAGGCCAATCGAGACATTACCTGAGGGTTCGCTTTCGGTTCATCCAGGAACTTGTTATTTTCTTGAAGGATACAATGCGTCGGCAGCCGAAAGCAATGCCGTGAACGCCATATCAAGATAACACAGAAGGAAAGAAATGCGTTCGAAAGATAAAACGTGCACACGCGTTCGAGCGTTCGAACATAGAACAATATATTGTAATTTTATGGGAAGGGAAACACATGGGGGTGGGAAATGCTGCATGGGATTTATGAATCATCCGTAAAAAAATACGGCACAAGTTGGTGGTTTGTGTATGTACGTAGATTCGAATAATCCCAGCAACACTGGTATGCTGTGTCTATCAACACAATTAGCATAATATGATAGTGTCAACTATAAACGTTGATGGCATCTACCATAATCACTATCGTGCCTGCCATAGTAAAAGTATGACTAGACCCATAATATAGGCCTATGCCATTAACGTGATTCTAACAGTTGTTACAAATATTATCTATAGACCATATGTGATTATGGTTTCTCCGATCACTGCTGGTTTGATATGGTTCCGACTATTACCACAATATACGACATGGTGTGTACCATCAACTCTAGTGTGATATGGTGTCTACTAACACCACCAGCGTATGGTACGCTCTCTGTCATCATTAGCATGATATGATGTTAACATTGTAAGTTTGATGTGGCTTCTATCATTATCGTGTGAAACAATTATATTGAAGATATAACAACCACACCTCTTGGAAAATCTTGGTCATATTGTTATGCAGTTTCTGTTCATATATTTCTTTTAAACAACCGGAGATATCGATGCTAATTATGACAAACGTGTGCCTTTTCACGCTCGAGTATCGATAGATATTGATGTCGTGTGTGTGAATTTGAGACGTAATTCAATCGTTTTGCTTGATATCAAAGGGTTTTGGCTCAACGATCGTTTTAATAGTTATCTTAAATTTTACTTCGATAACACCACTAATAATAATAATAATAATAATAATAATAATAATAATAATAATAATTATAATGAGTAATGATAATAAATGTCAATAATAGTAATAATACATATAATATCATAATGAAATGAATCAGTATATGATAATAATAAATATCAATAGTAAAAATAATAAGTAATGATAATACTGTAATAATAATAATAATATAATAATGAGTAACAATGAGTAATGATAATAATAATAAATATAATATAATAATGAAATGAGTATAATGATAATAATAAATATCAATAATAATAAATATAATATAATATTGAAAATAATAATAATAAATATAATTTTAATATAATAATAATATAATAATGATACAATAATAATAACAATAATAATAATGATAATGAGTAATGATAATAATAAATGTCAATAATAGTAATAATACATATAATATCATAATGAAATGAATCAGTATAATGATAATAATAAATGTCAATAGTAAACATAAGTAATGATAATACTGTAATAATAATAATAATAATAATAATAATAATAATGAGTAATGATAATAATAATAAATATAATATAATAATGAAATGAGTATAATAATAAATATCAATAATAATAATAAATATAATATAATATTGAAAATAATAATAATAAATATAATTTTAATATAATAATATAATAATGATATAACTTAACAACAAATTTTAACATCTCAACATCTTATTAATAATAATAATAGCCTAATAATAGCCTAATAATAATAATATTATTAATAATAATAATAATAATAATAATAATAATAATAATAATAATAATAATAATAATAATAGGCCTAACAACATTTCTTCAGTCATTTAGGAAAAAATATGAATAAATCAATCGTAGTAGCTAAGAGCTCAACGTCGTCGAACCACTAATAATAATGACATCACCATTAAATATAAAGATGAAAATGTTCATTATGATAGACCTACAAAATACTATATCTGCTAATGAATGAGATGCTATTGTGGTTTATGGGAGTGGAGTGGTCTAGTCCTACTACAAACTTAAAACTATTGCTCAAGGATATCGTATTAAGTTCTAGTAGTCTATTGGGTGTTTGTGTCATTCGCGTGGTTATATATTATGACTTTGAATCCTCACTAAAATGGGCGTGGATTGTCACGTATGTGTGTAGTATATATTATGAATGGGCGTGGTCTATACACTGTAAGCCATTTTGGTTTAATATGGTTGTTATTTTGTATATTAACACTGTTGTGACGAATCTCAATACAGATTATTATTAATTAATTTTAATATTTTAATTAACACCTGATGCACGTCGTCCGCGCTGTGTAATCGCATGCCCGACGCAACGCCAATCAACTGAACGTCGATGTCAGTCGCTCGTTGAGCCGACACCGGCGCAGAATGCCCCAGGCTTAACCTGATTATAGCAGTAAAAGATTTAGTATCATGAGAGGTCAACAAATTACTAACATGTCCAACCTAAAATAACTTTGTTATGTCTTGTAGTTTAAATTAATATTTTCATACACAATACGCGTCTAAATCACATTTATATATGTATTATATGTGTGTATACAATGCATAAAAAACATTACACACGTGCCAAACGCGTATACTACATGCACCGCTATGAACTCGTACTTGATGAAGTATGGTATATCGTGTTCCATTGACTCCACTCGTCTCCGTATTTTTAATAGAACAATGTAGTTGAATTTATATGGGTTTCACATCTTACGGCTACAAAATGCAATCATTTTCAATAGTCTTTCTCGTAGTTTGCAGACAATTAGCCGAATGACATGGGCATGCGTGCTTTAAACTACGAGAAGGATTATTTCACTGTGCTGGTGTTCATATATGCTGCTGTTGGTATGCCTATGTATATTATAACTTATTACAGTAGACATGTGTAATGCTACAGTGTGATGATAGCTACCACATTTGTATTTTTGAGGCAACAGGATGCCGAAGAAGACAACCCATAAATGATTGAATACGCGAATTGGTGTGGCGTCGTTTATTTAAATACAGTGGATGGCACGCTTAATCGAGAGCGGTCGTATATAAATTGGAGAGGTATTTCCCAAGTGTTACCATGCGCCGTACATCGACCTGACTTTTGTCTGGAAGTTAGTAGGCCTGCTAAATCGGTTGTTTAACATCCAAATGAATCGAAATATAATGGCTCGTTGAGTTAATAGACTTGTGTACAGGACGGATAGTCTGAATTAAGCACCATGACACTTATTCGAAATAGAGTAGGCCTGTCGGCGCTTATTCAATTAAGAGATCACATTAGGTGCGGAACTTAACCGAGAGTGGCGTTTATTCGAGAGAAGCGCCTATTCGACGGTATGGTATATCTGAATAATATTGGCGGAATAAATAACACTTCGCGATGCATTATGGGAGAAAAAATGCTACGGATCAGACGACCAAATATCCGTTTCTGACAAAAGACGTGCGCACCCTTTGTTAAATCATTTGACCAATACCGCTTGCGAGTAGTTTTTTTCATTCGTCTGCGAACGCGTACATAGTGGCTACGCGTTGTACCACAACCAATAAAGGATGAAGGGCTTAGAATGTTTATATTTACAACAATGCAGGCTTGAACTTAACGAGGATATTAGCTTTAAGGCGCCTTGTATTATTACCGATATTTTTTACTGATGTGTTTCTGTTTGGTCATTATTTAGATAACATGTGCGTGTGTGTGTGCGCAGAGTACGGTATACATTAATATCAAATTTCCTTAGATTTTATAAATTATTTAATCATTATATTTATGATATTAGGTGTCATATCATATAATTGTATAAAGTTATAGTTAATTGCTTGATATTATTTTCAGCATCATAATTTATGTGAATGTTTTATTTTATACTATCGACGTGTTTTGCATTTCGTTGGGTTAATTTTGTTTATCAAAGTCATTGCATTAGGCCCAACTACCATTATAATATTAGTAAAGATGCAAAGACGCCGACAGGATATTTGAAAATAATGTTATTCTTGGTACAGAAAAATCTATTAATTTAATAATTAGGATAGTGTAAATGTATTATACAAATTAGCTTATATTTCAACGACCCGTGTTTACGGATATCCGATAAATATTAAATAAAAACAAAATCGATCCCTTTTACAGTAAGAGTTGCACAGTAAGTTTGTGTAGTGTATTCTTGATAATGGTTTAATACTTAAAATGTAGCTTATACATAAGTTGAAGTGCTAAAGAAATTATTTTTGTCATATTTATATCTATTTATTTCGTGTTTTACTTACGTGTATTTATTAAACTTACGTGTACACGAGAGCACTGCCTATGGGATATATTCGCCAATGCACACTCGAGGCATAATGGACCTTTCCGCTAAGCCCCGCCCCTTAGATATTGTTGCTAAGGTCCCACAAGACGACAGTGTTAAAACATACGCGAACACGTGCGTTTGTGGGACAACACGTGTGTTTGTGAGACGCGCGCGTATCCCTAGCGCTGTTCTGATTAGTCAGTTGATAAGTTTGATTGACACTCTGGAAAGGTCTATTATCGAGGGTTGGTGTTTTTAAACTGAGATTTAAGGAGCTATTATATTTCGTTTCAATGGTGGCACATGGCCATCGAATTTTTTGCTTCTTCCATAAGGTCAGATAGGTCAAATAAGGTCAAACAAGGTAAAATAAAAAGAAACATGTTTTTCATCCCCAACATGTATTTCGACCGCCGTTTTTCATGCACTAGCTAAAACACTCAAAAGTGTGTTTTGTGTACCTAGGCATATCCAATACCGTAAGCAATTTTATACTTCCACCTACACATGTCGTTGTCGAAGGTCAAATTACATAAATAAACAAATCATTACACAGCGTAGGGTCTACGTTAATCTGATCTGAACTTTATAGTTTCTTTTTATTATATAGTTATTTATGATTTGTTGCAGTATTTGGCTATTATATGCCATAATGATCACAAAGTGATAACATTTTATCAAAATTCAAACGATAAGACATGATTGTTTAGACCTGACCTGACCTTCGACATAGTCATGTACGGTTGAGACAGCGTCGATTTTTTAGGCCTAATATTCCGTACAAGAATCAAGTCTTTTTATTTGTCCAATTCAAGATAGTTATTGAACGTTGCAGTGCAATGACTCGAAACAAGAACAAGACTTGTAGGCATTAAAGAAAACAATATGAAAACAGAGAGCAGGCGTAATTATTTTTTATTTGTTTCGTCAATGATTAAAAGGGAGATTTCGCAGGCTTACGAAAGCCATAACAAATACGGTTACGCATCATCATATTTTTAGTTACTTAAACCATCTCCTCAGTAGCATATCTCTCACAAAGTAGTCTTTTACATGAATCAAAGATCACATTTAGCTCGTATGTCTTGCCCTTAAGAATATTTTATGCACGAATGAGATAATAAATATGACGTATTCGTTATCGTTTTCGTAAGGCTGCGAAATCTCCCTAATAATTTGTCTCAAATATCAACTTCTTCCTCAGCATTCAACAAATCAAACGACGTTACTTCGCCTGATTTATATAATAAATCAATATTATTCCCAAAAGGACAAATTAATATAATTCTAATTCCGAATCATTAAAGTAAATTATTAATGTTAGGAATAAATAGAAAATAAAGCGAATTAACATCAATATTTTGTGAGCAAGACTTTTTGTTAAAGAGCTGAAATTTCTTAGTCATAACATCCAAATAAGAAAGTCCAACAATGGCTCCAAGCAATAGTAATAATATTTCCCATTATTTAGATATTCATCGAAATTTACGTTGTAGAATTTACAATTTCAACCGACGGTGATAAAAATATATAATATAATGATATACGGTACTGTCTGCGTCCAGATAATAAACTTAAATGTTTGTATAATTTATTAAATAATATTTTAACATTGAACAATAAAATATTTTCTTGGTTTATTAACAAACGCATTGAAAATACTGAAGACTAAATTTTCTCGATACTGTTTTTAAAGCCACAGACTTCGGAGAAAAAATGTTTATGTTGTACAACGGATTTTTCTAAAA